GTCACCACTTCATCTCCTCATGCCCACCTAACGTCTCTGTCCGTTCACAGACAGCCCAGAGCAGATTACACTCAGTGGCCTGAATCTGGGCTCAGTCACCCTGTTGAGCTCATGTTGTGCATACGCAGGATTCCAGGTCCCACAAGCAGTAGGACAAGAGAGGGCTGTGTCAGGTGAGGGAATAGCCTGCTGCTGACGCTAGGAGCCCTCAACAACTCACACCCCTTATGACAAGGATGTCCAGATGGACCCACCTGCTGCAGAGCATCCTGGTGGACTCCTCATGGGTGACTATGGAGAGCTAGAGGTCAGGGAACAGAGTGGGTTTTTGGTCACCTCTCACATCTCAGTGACCACCTCTCATATATAGTCAGGAATTTCTGAGCTAAATTCATGGAAAATACTTGAAGCAGGACTGAAAGTGGATTTTCTACAACTGAAAGTATATTTAGGAGCAAATTTTTTACGTATCGCAAAGGAAAATAAGGTAATTGTGTTTAAGAGGATGGATAATGAATAGAAATACTTTCTTATTCATCATGGACAAATTTTAAAAATCTGATTTACTGTCACCTGTACACTCACTAATATTCTTTAAAAGAATCAATCAATTGGGTGGTATATTTAAAAAGCCAACGAGAAAAAGGTCTTGTACATATCGAATCAACCAGCTAGACTCCAAGTTTTACATTTAAAAGAACACTGCAAATGCTGCGAGGGGCTCTCACTGTCTGTCCTCATGTTCCTAATATTTTTTTAGAGCAAAGCACTTGCTTTGACTGTGAGTTCTTTCCTCCCACAGTCTTTTGTGGATGGAAAGAAGTCTAGATATATGTGCCTGTATCATGCAGCCGCCACGGCTCAGAGAACACTAGGGGGCAGGCTGCTTCCACGATCCCTCACAAGAACATCTGATGGGATGAGACCAACACGCTGTTACCAGAACAAAACGAACACACTGCTGTTGGAGAAAGAGGCTAAATATTTTGGAATATATTAAAGCCACTGGACTGAAAAGAGCACAAAAGCAGGAATGTGCCATTCTTCAAAGTTTAATGCTGTGCTCTCACTGTCATTAAATACTCAATTTTTAACATCGTCTTCATTTTACACTGGGCCCTGAAATTGTATAGTCTTTTCTGCTGGTGACTTTAGCTTTAGAATCATATAAATGTTCTTTGATGTAATGCCTTGCCATATTTGGGGATGTACGCACTAAGAAGATTAGAAACAGGATGGGTGTGATAGGAAAGTCTGAGACTTTTATTTGATGTAACTCCACGTGTTGGATTTTTCTCTGGATTGCACAGAATAAGGAACATTTTGAGCTTCTCACATCACTAACCTCCTCTTTTATTGTGAGCGATATTTCTTTATCCCTCACGGTCCATGACGCTTAATCCATAGTCAACAGGATTGATTCACCATATCAGTTAGTCCATTTCATCTTCTTAGATCTATTTAAGGAGAAGTGAGCCTACTCTAGTCAACTCACAATCTAGCTTGGATAAATACAGGTTTATCTATATGATCAAATGAATATAGAGCAGGTAGAAGGTCCAGAAGAATTCACATACTGGGTCCACTAATGTGTAGATGCTTTCCATAGCACACAGTGATTCATCCCCCCAAATCAAAGCCAGAAGCCTAAGCCAACAACAGAAGGTCACTGACTCCAGAAGCTAGACAGAGATTTTGGCAATTGTGTCCTGGTGCGCTTGAGAGCTCTGAACAAAGAGCTCCCTGGATTAAGACTATATTTTTCAGTCATCCCTAAGTCTCACAATAGAAAAAGGATGTAATAATTTCCCCAACATAAGTTACAGGCTGGATTGGGGCAATTTGGTGCTGGTGAGAATGCAAAGAAGCACCCCTACTTTGTGAAAGTCTGCCCCTTATTTTTTTTGTGTATGTGAATAAGATTGTCCCTGAGCTAACATCTGTGCAATCTTCTTCTATTTTGTGTGTGGGTTGCCAGCACAGCATGGCTTGATGAGCGGTATGTAGGTCCATGCCCAGCATCCAAAGCCACAAACTCCCAAACATAACCACTATGACACCGGCCCAGCCCCTGAAAATGACAATTTCTAATGTAGGACTAAAGGCTAGAGCGGCTAAGATGTATTAGATGTTACAATCTTCAAATAATGAAATCTAAGTAATTGATGGCTTAAGTTTGGGGAGTTTTATCTATGTCGAATCTTTAGTCATTACAAACTATACTGAGTATTGTTGACCAAAGGACAGGAAACCCATTGGTAAATAATGAAGGGAGGACAGGGATTTACCGAAGGAGGACCACAGATGATGGAATCAAGGATGATCCTAGTGAGCAGAAGGGACACCTGGCATGAGACTGAAAGGATCATAAATATTAGAGTGAAGGGACACTGATAAGGACACATGAGGACAGATCTCTTATTCCTGATTGTCCCGGAGCCCAGGACACCCTGAGATGTAGGAACCTGAGACCACCAGGAAGAGCAAGCAGCAAGAACCCTGGATGAGGGGAGGGGACTGGTCTTCAGGGGACACTCAGGACCCTCTGAACACAGGGCCCGACGGAGGGCCAGCTGCGGAGGGAGGCTGGGGATTGAGGGTCTTCCTGCCGAGGTGCGCAGTCCCCTTTATTAGGATTAAAAGTCCTGAGCCTGTCTCCATTCTCCTGCGTCTGAGTCCCAATTTCTCATATGACACCGGATCCTGAGAAAATGGGGCAATTTCTCCCATGCCAACAGCTTTTCAATATTTGGAGGCTGCTCAGTTTTACAAGCATAGTCCTTGTTTTCAATTTTATGTCTTTGGTTAACAGTGTGATTCTTTCTCATGAAATTGGTTAGGGTCCCCTGACATAGGCTGTGCACTGTCTTAAAGGAAGTGTGTGCACAGAGCCTTAGATAAATTTGCACAGCCTCCATGTTCCAGAATGAGAGATCTCCCAGCCGCCTATGGGGAAAATATAGCTACTCAGATAAAACTGATCTCACTGTGCTCAACATGAAGGGAATACACTCATGAGGACTCTCCTTTTCTCACAATTATATATACATATCTGCAAAAATTTCTATCAAGACATCTATTTCTGTGTGGAAATATGACTTTGAAAAAGGTGGAGATTGTGAATATCTTTATGGATTTATATGATTTTGACATGGTGATTACTGGTGATGCCAAAACCCTGAAACATCTTTGCTGTGGTCACTAAATATACTCACATGTGTGTTTGGAGTGTATTCATCGAGCGCAGCATTGATTTTATCAGCCTGTGCCTTTCAGGACTGTGAACGGTGTCTGCAGTTTCTTACCAGACACCTACAGTTAGATTCCAGTACCTCCCACTGTATCCTCTATCCGTCGCTGACAAGACTGTTTGGATATCAACACCTCGCACCCTAAGTTACTGAAGAACTCTGTGCCATGTCGAAAGAATTCTGACATTGGGGCAGGCCCGGTGGCACAGCTGTTAAGTGCACACATTCCACTTCAGTGGCCTGGGGTTTGCCCGTTTGGATCCCGGGTACGGACATGGCACGGCTTAGCAAGCCATGCTGTGGCAGTCGTCCCACGTAAAAGAAGGTGGAGGAAGATGAGCACAGATGTTAGCTCAGGGCCAGTCTTCCTCAGCAAAAAGAGGAGGACTGGCAGCAGATGTTAGCTCAGAGCTAATCTTCCTCAAAAAAAGAAAAAAGAATTAGTACATTTTTCTATAAAACAATTCCCTCCAGGATCCGTTGTGTACTGCTCTTGGCAATGTAAATTGCTACAGCCACTACAGAAAAAGTAGGAGTTCCCTCCAAAAATTAACAAAACATAATTACCATGACCCAGCAATTCCACTTCTCTGTATATATCTAAGGAACAGAAAGTCACTATCTTGAAGAAATATCTGCACCTCCACGTTCATAGCAGCATTATTCACAGCAGCCAAATACAGAAACAACCTAAGTGTCCAGCAATGGATGTATGCACAAAGAAATGGAGAAAGAATTTATACATACATACATATATATGTATGTATATATTTGATGGGATATTATTCAGCCTGAGAAAAGAAGGAAATCCTGATACTTGTGACAACATAGAGGAACCTGAAGGACATTATGCTAATTGAAATAAGGCAGATACGGAAAGACAAATAGTGCGTGATCTCATTCAGATGTGGAGCATATAATTGTGAAATCCATAGAAACAAAGAGTAAAGTAGTGGCTACCGGTTGCTGAGGGGTCGGGGAAATAGGGAGACGTTGGTCAAAGGGTACAAACTTTCAGTTACAAGGCGAATAAATTCTGGAGACCGAATGTACAGCATGGCAACTGTAGCTAGTGATAACGTGTTGTATACCTGAAACTTGCTAAGAAAGTGGATCTTTAGTGTGTTCATCACACACACGCACAATGGTGACTGTGTGAGGTGAGGAATATGTTAATTAGCTCGATTGTGGCACTCACTTACGATGTGTACATATATCAGAACATCATATTGTGTTTCTTACATATGTACAATTTTTATTTGTCAATAATTCCTCATAAAGCTAGGGGAAGAAAAGAAACCAGTCACAAAAAAAAATCCTTTCAACACACATTCTCTCCCTCTGTCAAATAGCCTTGTCTCTTGGTACAGTTCCAAGTTGCAGAAGTAGAGAAATGGATTCTTATAAAAGCAACTTATTTAGACTTTTTTCCAGTAGGAACAGCCTAGAGTGTGAGGTCAACAGGACAGGTGAATGGCAGGAGATGAGCACAGGTGTCACAGCTTCAAATCCAGAGAGGAGCCTCAGCCCGCCCTGCAGAGGGACTCTGGGGGTGAACAGGGCTCAGAGCGTCCACCCCTGAGACAAGAGAGGGGGGATTTCACCTTCCTTCTCACGTGGCTAAGGGCAAGTAGAGGTGGACCAGGGGTGGGGCACATCCCATTGAGTGTGCAAACAAACACACGCGGGATTTTAGGGGAGTGATGGATCAAGGACACCTGTGGTGCTACTTGAAGTTTTCAACATATGACATCTTCTCCAATCACACATGAACAAGATGCATGGAGCATAAGCCCGACCTTGAACTAATGTAACACAATATAACAAGCTATCAAGCTCTCGGTATGACGATAACCACATAGCAGAAGAGATTATAGGGAAAGAAAGCAGAAGCCGTGCTCTGCTCAGCATGGAGGAGCCAAGACCCAGGTTGTCAGTGGATGGTGAAGAGTTAGGCTGGGGTCAAGGTGGGGATTGCGGGGCAGATGCCTGAAGACTGGAAACGCTGGGCTAAGAAAAGAGGGGAATCCACAAATATGTTTAAAAACAGCCTTGAAACCAAGTCTCCTGCCATGCCAGACTGAAAAACCATCTGCAATCAGGAGAAGAGAGGTCCGCAGAGTCCCTGGAACGATTGTGGAGGCTGCTATAAATCCCTCCCCATTTATAAGGACAGGCGTCTTCACATGCAAATTTCTCTTCAAGATCCAGAGTAAAATCCACTCTTGGGCTGTGGGAGCTCACAGTTGTCTCCTCAGACAGGGCTGAGCTCTCTGGGGAAGGCAGAGTGTAATCTAGAAGAAGATGAGACTCTTGTGTCTTCTCCTTTTCCTGGTGACGGCTCCCCAAGGTGAGTGTCTCAGTTGTCAGACCTGGGTCAATGGGAATGGCTGTGACTGCATGTGACTGACAGGGACTGATTCTCCTTGTCCCCAGGAGTCCTGTCCCAGGTGCAGCTGCAGGAGTCGGGCCCAGGACTGGTGCAGCCCTCACAGACCCTGTCCCTCACCTGCACTGTCACTGGAGGCTCCATCACAAGCAGCTATTCTAGCTGGAGCTGGTTACGCCAGCCTCCAGGGAAGGGGCTGGAGTACATGGGGTACATATATTATGATGGTAGAACTTACTACAATCCTTCCTTCAAGAGCCGCACCTCCATCTCCAGAGACACCTCCAAGAACCAGTTCTCCCTGCAGCTGAGCTCCGTGACCACCGAGGACGCGGCCGTGTATTACTGTGCAAGAGACACAGTGAGGGGAAGTCAGTGTGAGCCCAGACACAAACCTCCTGCAGGGAGACAGGAGGGGCTGGGGTGCCAGGGACGCCCAGAAACACCAGGCGGCGCTCAGAACTCACAGCACTGAAGCTCAGCTTAGCAGCAGGTGCAGAGAGGGAATGGGGAGAAGTTTCCTGTTGGATCAGGGGTTTCCTCTCCTCTCCTGGATCTCACTTGCCCTCTGGGACACTTGTTGCTTTGTTCTTTTTAACTGTAATTTCTCACATTATCACTGTAAGAAACAAAAGAGGCAATGACTTTCTCTGCAGATAAGGTGTGAGCTCTCTTTCCCTTCAATTTCCTGGGTAACCCATTTTCCTTCTTGACATAGTTAGCATCCTGAGGATTCTCATGCTCCTTTGATTGGGAAAAGCAGCCATCCAAACACCAGCTCAGTCCAGGCACATGTCCCAGGTGGTTATGATCAGCACGTCCCTGAGGACCTGGCCCCTAGTGCGTCTTTGTCTTCCCTTAGACAGGAGAGCCTCCTATTTGAACCACATGGGTGGACATTTATGTTCAGCATTTGTGCCCTTCTGTAGTGGTATCTGCATCTCCCGGCTGCAGAAGAAGGCCAACCCAGCACTGGACACAGTGCTTAGGTTTCCCTGTGAGCCAGGCAGATATACAAGCACAGAGATGACATCCCATTACCGCCCTGCTGGATGGTGTTCTGGGTGGGGTCTCTGAAACAGCACATTGGGTGTGCCCTAAGGTGTGTCTCTCGGCTTCCACGTGGAGAATCTATGTGGAAAATGAGAGCCAAGTGACAGGGCCCTGGTCGCTGCCACCCTCTGCTGTCCCCCTAGTGTCCCTAAGAAGCCTGAAGGATAATTGCCCTTTGTCTTCTACTGTCTAAATGCACACAATTGTTGTACCCAGACCCTGCGACTTAAGGAATCAGAGTCCAGAACACTTCTCCTAATCCGGCTCTTCAGTGTCAGGCACAGAGGGGTGTGCAATAAAGATTTAGCCATCAGTGCACCCAAATTTACTTCATCTCTAACCTCCATCCCATGTGTCCATCCAGCCATGGACACCCAAGGGCCATTTAGATACAGCTGGCCTGAAGCTGGCCTGATCTTCCCTGCTGAGGCCATGTGCCAGGCACACAGTTCCATGTCATGCAGGCTCTAACTCAGGACAGGCCTGGGTCATGTGGGAGCACAGGCATTTTCTGACCCCATGGCACCTCTAACATTTTTTGCCAAAGGTGGTCCAGGCAGCCCTATCACCTGTGACACAACACAGTGGAAAGTCGCATGGGTGGCTTGAGTCAGACAAGTGTCAGGGAGAAGTCTGGGTGTGCTGGTTACCCCCAATGTCGCCAATTGCCATAGCATCTATAGGGATCATATATATTCAGTCAAATATCTGTGAATCTTAAAGTGATTGTACCGATTAGACATCAGGCAAAGAGAAGGATCCACACAAGGAAATACACTTAGGGGAAAAGATTCTAAAATATACTGAAGACAAATGAGCTATGTGTTCTAATTAGGAAGGTGGATAAAGTGCAGAGAATATGTATGTGAATTGCGTATTACTTGTAGTACATCCTTTCATGATTTCTTTTGTTTATTTTTTCTTATTTGTGTGAGGAAGATTGGCCCTGAGCTAACACTGGTTGCCAATCTAAGTCATTCTAGTTCTTCTGTGTTCAAACTGGTGAACCATGGACCGCTGAAGTGGAGCGCATGAACTTAACCACTCAGCCAGATGGCCCGTCCCTCTACATCATTTTGAACAACTATTTCCTGTCTTAATACTGGCCCACAGTCTGTACAAATATCAATCAAATTGATGGCTTACTTAAAGAACTAACCACAAAATCAACCAGAGATACTTGTATTTTTACAGCTAATAGGAAAATTGTAAGTGTTTAAAGATGTTTCATGTTCTGTGCCTTCAAATTCATATTATCGGTCTTAGGGGCCTCTCCATTACAATACTTGAATTAGCATTTTGGCTCCCCCTCAGGAGTGCCTATCTACTCTGATCTATAATCCTAGGGATGGCAGTCTTTTTGTCAGCACAGGCACAGCAACAGCAGCAGCGGAGGCAAAGACATTTGAAAGGGGCTGTCGAGCCACCTTCCTAGGAGTGTGGACCTCAGCAAGCCAAGTCTTCCAGGAGTGACTGCTCTTCAAGGAGAGACTGACCTTCCTCCACTCAAGCGACCACCCATGAACTCGTCCACGGCACAGGTTACAGTCCTTCCCTGAAGCACTCTTTGTGTTGAAGAAAATGTATTGTGACATGGTCAACAAGGTAAAGAAGACTTCATTCAACACTATTGCAATATGGGCATTGAAGTAAAGAAAGAGAGCAGGCTCACCTCTGAACACAACAGGACACATGGGGATTTAAAGAGAAGGAGCAGACTGTGCAGGTCATTGGATGGAGAATTACTACGAGGAGGCATCTCGGGTAGGAGGCTCCTGGGAAGAGCATCACAGTCCTGAGGCATATTTGGATCCACATCTTCCTATTTTCCCAGGGGTTCCTCCCCTCAATAAGCCTGACTCCTCCCCCAGCAGAGGCTGGAGACGGTGACCCTCCACCCACATGACCCTTCCCCTTATGCCTCTGCAGCTCTGCCCATGCAAATCGACTTGGCTTCAAGAAGACATCCAGGCAGCTTGGAGAAGCGTCCCTCTGTTCCTCACTCTGGGTTTCATCTCTGGTAAGCACTGACCCATCCAGACAGACATGGCCCCTCTCCTGGTCGTCTTCTGCCTGCTGGCTGCTCTCCACGGTGAGTGACTCATGAGTCTCAGGAATGGTGTGATGGGATGAGGACATGAGTGTGTGGTTCACTGTTGTTCTCTTTCTGTAGGTGTCGAGGCTGAGGACCCTCTCGTGCAATGGGGAGGTGGAGTGGTGGTCTCCTCACAGACACTCAGCCTCACCTGTGCCGCCTACAAACGCAAAGTTTCAGAATATTCCCTGTGGTGGATTCGCCTTCTCCCAGGGAAGGGGTTGGAGTGCGTAGGTGTGATCTGGGCTAAGGGGGACACTCAGTGCAGCCCCCACCTGCAGTCTCGAGTCAGCATCTCCAGGGACGCCACCAAGAACCAAGTGTTCTTACAGCTGAGCAGTGTGATGCCTGAGGATTCAGGCGTGTATTACTGTGCTCAAGACACTGTGATACAAATGCTGTGAGAGCCCAGACACAAAGCTGTGTCACGGGGCTGGAAGGTGTGCTGTAGGGGGCGCTCAGTCCCCCGAAACACAAGGTCCATCACAGGGGCAGGTGCAAAGGGAGGTTAAGGGCTGGTTTCCTGTCAGGATCTGGGGCTTCCTCTCTGCTTAGCAGTTTCCCCTGGGAACCTCTCTGGCCTCATTATTCTGCGCTTACCTCTCAGGTCTCTGAATTATGAAGTCTGCTGTAAGAGGGGGAAAACATTCTCACATGCCCTAAAGACATCGAGTCACTTACAGGCAGTCCTGTCACTAAATATCAGTTAGCTATCAACATCTCTGTGTTAAGTCAGCAAAGTATGCAAAAGAGGCTTTGTTGGACTCAATAATCCAGCTCTGCACAGCACAGCTCGGTGCACAAGCCTGTCGGCAGTAGCAGCATCAAGTGCAGCCTGCATGTAAGGCGACAGAGGCCTTATAAATCCAAAGTAAGAGAAGAAAGATCCTGGCTGTTGTTGATGTGGGTGTCTAGTCTGATCACAGCTGAGGCACACACAGACTATGAAAGGCTCCAGCACCTGCATTATCGAGATGTCTGTTGAGAGCAGGGCAGGTGCACCTGTCCGAAGGGATTGGGCAGAGCCTGGAAAGGAGACCGGCTCAGGCTTTTAATTTCAGTTCAGTAGTCAGGGAGGGGTGAGTGTCCTCCTCACAGGAGGGGCTTGTGTGGTTTCAAACTCCCAATGACTTACAAAGAGCAGACTCGTGCTTTCCTATCAGATTTGTGGGCCAGACGGAGAAGAGCAAGAAAAGAGCTTTAAACTGTGGGCAGTGAAACATCAAAAAGTAAAGGCTGATGACTCATTCCACTTATCCACAAAAGAAAAAGTGTGTGAAAAAGATAGAAACAGCTATTAAGAGTAGAAAATGACTCTGAGTTTATAGAAAATGAGAGTGATTACATGTTAAAAATAAAACAATAAAATCATAGGAGAAGTAGAAAGAGATCTTAGTCCAAATACTTGGGTGGATGCTGTCCATGACCCAAGGTCATCAGCTTCTTCTGAAGTTCTTGGACAGCTTTCTGCTTCTAAGGATCAGGAGCTTCTGCAAGAGCGATGAGAATCCTGTTTGAGCTGCTCTGTTTCAGTGGCCTTTCAAGTGTGTGGAATTATGAATCGATCATTTGCTGCTATTGCTGAATGCTTGTATCCGCCCCCACTCATGTGATGAAACCTAATATCCAATGTGATGGGATTAGGAGTTGTGGTCTTTGGGATGTGCTTGGGTCATGAATATGGAGTCTTCCTGAATGGGATTGATGCTCCATAGAAGAGGACTGAGAGAGCTGCCTTGCCCCCTTGTGTCATGTGAGGTCACAGGGAAAAGCCAGCCATCCTATGTTCTGGGAAGGGACTGGGGAATTAACACGCCCACTAGTGGTCACTCTGAGTGACACGCACTGCATGATTCTGACATCAAATCTGCTGGCCCCTTGATCTTGGATTTCCACCCTTCAGAACTGTGACAAATAAGTTTTTGTTGTTTATAAGCCAACCAATCTAGGGCAGTTTATTAGAGCAGTCTGCATGAGCAAAGGTATTTGCAAAACGTGAACTCAATAACTGACTCCATGGAGTTTCACTGCTGAATATTCTTAGTAAAAGTACATGACAATTAACACCGCAAAGTCCAGTCAAATGCATTAATCCATAAAGCGAATCACCACCTCCATGCAGAAAGAGTTGTTCAGCTGAGTCAGCGGGTACAAGAAAATGAGTGCAATCAGTTTTGCCCCAAATGTTCTTGGGTCCTGTGTGTTCAGATCAGCCTGGACCTCGGGGGCTGACTGGGGCTCCCTCCCACTAAGCTCACCTGGCTCCTCAGGAAGAGTCTGTCCTAGAACAGACTACAACTACTGGATGTTTTTGTGCATCTTTTCACTGACCCATTTTAGCAAAAGTCCTGTTAACTTGGTTTGGCCAGAATCTCTTATCTTCAATATTTGATCACTCTTGTTACCTAATTAGGTTTCTCATCACCACCGCCCCCAA